AATAGGACCATTGGATCCACACTTTGAGGCCTTCGAAACATACGAATGTAAATATTAATGAGCATGAAATTCTTTAGACAATAATTTGTGAAGACTGAGTATTTGAGAAAAACTCGTCAGTCTTGCAATGGTTATCGAACATCGAAAGATGCTCTTATAAAAACTATAACATTCAAAGAAAACATTAAGCTTTTGGTTACCCTTAAAGGTTTGAAAAATACAAACAGATTTTAAGAACTTATTCAACTGAGCACACAGGAATTGAACAGGAACCCCCAACATTGTACATAAAGACCACGTTAAACTATCAGGCATTAGTAACACTTATGCATTGGAGTATTATTGCATCATCAAAAACAAATACTGGAAAAGAATCTAGAGAAAGGAACATAACTTACATCCCACGTAACACGTAGACTCTGTGATGATAGGGAATATGCTAAAGCTGACACTGGAGCTCCGTATGGTACTGTAAAAGGTATTAAAACAAATACTTTTGACATATTTTTGCTTTGGTTTTCTTGTACGAGAAAAAGGTATGCAAAGTAAAACCAAAGCAAAGTAAAAGGTTCAGGGTCACGTTTGACTAATCGTAGTCTTAGCCGTTATTCTAAAAATTAAGGTTGATGATATGGTGAGTGGTCATGAAAAAAGGGAAGGATATACAGTTTGAAATTACATACATTTTCTTCAAAAATATGCAATTTTCTATCCAGCATCTGGGATGATCTAAATACTCTTTTCACTTTATAATTTTTTGCTCTACGCCAAGTGTCACTTTGACGAAATGGCAAGTGGCAGACAATTTTATTGAGAGCAGCGGCCATGAAATATGTTGTGGTAAAGAGTTATTCAATTGTTTATAGATTATAAGTTTAATGCCTTTTTGACACTGGAAAGCAAATAAAATGGTTTGATGGTAATATTTTTGTTTTCTTTGTACCTTCATAGTTACAGCGGAAACCCAAAGGAATGTCCCTTGCATTGTCCGTAACAGCCTTAGGAGTATTCCTTGCTATGTCCATAACAGGCTAGCGTTATAGCGGAGYCTTTTTTTTTAATATATAAGATGATAAATAAACTGTTGGGTGCGTGCAACTGTAATTCTCAAAAAATGTTTCTTCTTTTTGAAAAGGAATAAAAACAAAGAAGCAGTAATACACTGTATACACAGAAAAAGAATCAAAAGAGAAGACGGTTATCGTTAAGCCTTTGCGCGACTGACATACTGTATTATTCTCTCTAAAGTTTTCGCTAGAGACAAGGTGTTGCGTAATATCGCAAGACGAGAGTTGACTGTGATTTTTGGCGCTACTTTTCTTTACGTTTACTTAATGGCAGTCTCATTTTTGAACCTGTCGTTACTTACAAATTTCAACTAGTGTTGTGAAGTTAGTAGAACAACTCCACTGTCCATGACCAGCTTTGTTTACAGCTTTAATCATAACACTGTAGTTTGTATAGGGCGTAAGACCAGAGTTGTTGACACTAGTTTCAAAACCTGATACGTTTAATGTACGGGTAGTACTGTTGTCTTGGTACTTTATAATATAGAATGTTATATTTGCTTGCAATGGGTTTCCTGTCGTGTTCCTCCATCTTACGATTGCTGACGTCGACGTGATATTGTCCACTGTTGGTGCTGGTGAGGTCCATTGTAGATCTAAAATAGAATGTTAAAACCTTTGAAGACCTATCGATTTTATTACTTTGTGCCTCTACCCGCGGCAAGAACCTTACTATCGTAAAAAAAATTAGTATTATAGCAAGCAAATTTTGATTACATGGCTTCGAGGATCATTGCTGGCAAAGGTTGCATCTTTTTACCGCGTAAGGATAATCCTATTGAGTATGAATTATATTCTCGATTAATACAGACAACATTTGACTCCTMATTTTTTGTGCATTTGTACCTTTCATAAATCCATATGCTTCTACCCGCATCGTCTTCCATGAGTGGTAAGCTGTTGGTATGAATCTGATGTATCTGACCAAAGCTGGAACACCCAAAACATTCTTGACGACAGTATTACTATCTGTATTACCAGGAAACAACTAGAAGAAAAATAACAACATCTAAGACATTCTTGACAACAGTATTACTATCTGTATTACCAG